ATGCCTCGTTGGGATGGAGATCCAGGGTTTACTTGTGGAAACCAATGATACCTGACAGAAGCACATTGGTGGACAAATACTGTCAGATTTACCTATTCAGACAATATATATTGATAGATAGTCTCTTATTCTGTGCTCTTGCCTGGGCAACGTGCCCCCCACAACAAAGTTAGTCAAGGTCTTGCCTAAGGGAAAAACAACACAACTGGATCCTTCATAACTCTCAAAGAATAGAAGACCTTCTCTAGTTTCTATTAAAGTCAACAGCGAAACTTCCATTAGCTATAATGGGAACCAAAATCACTTCTGTCAATTGGCTCCACTGAGTTCATATCAGTGAATTAAAACAATGAATAAATGAAACTATATTTACACCCAAATAGAATTAAATAAATAAAACAAAATATCAAGAGCAATGTTTTATGCAGCTGGGGCCTGATCCAAAGCTCATGGAAATCAACTGAAAGACTTCAGCTGACTTTGGAGCAGGTCCCTAGCGGAGGTGACATTTTTCATTACAGATATCACAAAGCAAAAATACCCACAATCTGTTACACTCTGTACGTGTGCGTGTGTGCGTGTGTGCACACCCAGCAAAATGGAGCCTGAACTTGACTGTTTATGGCAGTGGTGGGGAACCAAACTCTCACTGACATGGCCCCTGACTTAGAAAGAGAAAGACACTCCCCACATTCCCTTCACACACCAGAGCCTGGGCGGGGGGGGGCCAGGCTAGTAGATTTTATGTGTTCTAGCCCTGCAAGGGGAAGGGGGCGGCAGCTAAGCTGGAGTGCCAGTGTGGACCCCCCCATGCTGGGAGCGAAGCCCCGAGTCTTGAGGGATGGATCCAGGCAAGCCGGAGGCCACACCTGATTTATGGATTATTAATCATGAATTGTTATTTAGTAATTATTATCTTTTATTATTATTTATTATCATTATAATTGATGCCCACTGCTTGGAAACAAATCTAAACATATGCAAAAATATTTGTTTGATTGATTATCAGTCTGCCTTCTAAAACCCAGTTTTCCCAGTGCTAGTGTTTATTTTCCATATTTAATTCAAGAGCTCAATGCCTAAATTGTTTTCTTTCTAAAATCTTCAGGGCCTGATATTTGGGGCCTCCAGAAATTAAACTCAAAAGCATACAAGCTTCATTCATCATTCAAAAGCAGAAGAATCTTGTGAGTATATTTATTTCATACCGTAAAAGTGAAGGGTATATATTCTGTTTCTAGTCTTGTTAAAGTGGACAAGGTAGACCATGATTCTAACCAGCCAACTTGTCTATGCTCTGAACTATATGTTCCTTTTTTGTCCAAATCAGTTCCTTCTTGGCTTAAGGAACTCAGCTACCATCTCCCAGAGAGCATCTTAACAGCTGAGAATGTATCCATCTGCCAGCTGACAGATTGAATTCACTCCCTTGCTCATCAGAGGCCATCTATGAAAATAACCCTCCTATCAATCATTCTCTCTCCTTAGTCAGACACTGCCTGCCATACAAGGGATGTAAAGTAGCAAGATTATTAAAGAAAGGCGGAGAAAGAAATTGGACATGCATCGAAGACCAGACCTGGCAGAAATGGCAGGAATAGGTGACAGACAAGATGAGTGGGTACAATCTATCAAGTGACAGCAACTCCTTGACAGCAACTCCTATGAATCTGACATATCTAATAGCATTTTTTATGTATATCCCTCATTCCCACCTTTGCCTCCTCTCGTTGGTTGAATTCTTCCTCTCTGAAAAGCGTTTCTGTTTTGGGGGCCAGAAACTAACATCTGGCGTGAAAACACCATCCTGTTCAATCTGAACACAGTAATTTGTCAGTTGTATTGCAGAAGCACATAGGAACCCCAGTCATGGGCCAGGACCCCCATCATGTTAGGCTCTGTACAAACACAGAACAAAACAACACTCCCTGCCCCAAAGAGCTTACAGTTCTAAGTAATCTTAGTCCCTGCCATTTGTGCCTCTGAGCTCTCTCACTCCACTGCCAAGGTTTGCTAGGAATAAGACGACTTTACAAAAGAGAAATGAAATCTCAGGCCCACCTGCTCCTACGCTTCTGTGCACACCCCCCTCTGTCCCAACCCACTTCTTGGAACACTGGCAAATCCTTTGCAACCACCAATCCTTTCACGACACTAGGATTCATCATTCCGGGGTCTTATACCAGTGCAATTACACCAGTGCAAACCCCTTGTGTAGGATATTCCACAGTGGTGTAAAAGGTGACTTGCACCACTGAGGCTTACTCTGGTGGGTCACAGACAGCCGGACATCACACAACTGCATTCATACAACACAGCAATCAACAATTTAGCCACTGGCTGCCATTATAACTTGATCCATGATGCAGGAGCTCAGCACCCAAGGGGCAGGAAACCTGTTCGCTGACACCCTCCCTCCCAAGCTGTCAGGGATAATTAAGCCCTGATTGCAGATGGAGAAAAATACACCAGTAAGCCGTCTGTGTAATAATACCCCACATGGCCCTGGGGAGTAGTGAGGAATGCGGAGAAGTTTGTTGTACTCACCCAGTAAGCTGGTGAAGCAGGAAAAGGAAGGCAGTTTGGGCTGTACATGAACATGGGAGTTTTTACATTGCTCCTCAGTTTTGGGGGTCATCACGGACCATTTCAACATACATCTCCATGTACCCCCATCCGCAAAATGGCATCTGCTAGCCAACGTTAGCTGACAGCTCTTCTGGGATGCTAGAAACATACCCCAGTGTCCCACCCCTCCTTGGTGTCCAAGCTGGCTCTTTAGTTTCTTGTCCGCTTAAGTGATCACCTAGCTGACTGGCCAAGACAAATCATTATTGTTATTAGACTTCTCTCCCAGGTGAGCATGAAAGAGCCCACTTAAGAAGCCTTCTTTTTGTAGCACCTTCACCTCCCATCTTAATCCCCTTTTCTGGATTATTTGGCTTCTGACACCCTCCTGTTTGCCCCTAGAAATCATTCAGCGATAGGATCTGCGGGGAGTCAGGTTGCAGAGAGACAGCTACTCTGTTTCATGACATTTGGAACTCCGACAAACTTTGTGTAACAAGCAAATCTCATAGTGGCACTTTTAATGTAACCCACCTTCCTTCCCCAGACCCAAAATAGACACACGTTTCTTTAACAGATGAGAAGGGGCTCCTTTATTTATTTATTTTTTTTTTCCTCTCAAACCCCTTTTCTCTTTTAAGTCTGACTATGAGGCTTACCCAACCAGCGAGCCACTTCATACTTTTACAGATACCCTTCCTGCCTTTGAACATCTCCATGAGATGTACTGATACACAACTTCAAATATCCCTCTCCCCCATCCTCAGCTTTTTGCTCTTTACAGGATCGAGTCCTGGCAGTGTTTTAAACAGCTCGTCCCAAACTTAACAAAGTGTGGTTGGCACTTGTACTTTTTGCTTTCATCACTTCAATATTCCTGACCACTTCAAGGTCATGGGAGATGCCATATCACTTAGTTCTCATCCACACAGCCTTGAGCTTTGGTGGGAACTTCCCCCTGAATCCATAGGAATATTTGCTATACACTAGACAATCCAGAGCTTTGTGGACATAGTCAAGCCACACTCAAGGCCAACAAAGCCCCCTCTGGTAGGTAAGAAAAAGAATAGGTCCATTGCCCTCCATAGTGGCTTCATCTGAGTGTCAGAGTTCTGCAGCTCAGTCTTATTCATAAGGGAGCATCATGGCGCCCCTAGTCTTCCCCATGTAGACTGATGGGCCAGTCTGCTGTCCCCTCTCCACTCACATAGACATGTCCCCTGCCTAATCTTCTTCTTACCTGAAAGGGAGGAGCTGAGAGAAGTGGTGAGTTCCCTGCCGAATGGGACTGGCTGCAGGATCTGCAAAGTTCCCAACCTGATTAAGTCCTCATGTTATAGTGACATTTGATCTTCTAGAGAAGCCGATTGGCCATCAGGCCTGCAGTGTCAAGCTGGGAAGGAGCAAGGGAGTGGAGGGGGAGGGGGAAGACAGGGAAAAAGGTCATACCAAGTATAGGAGCAGCTGAAGGAATTGCATAGATTATGCTAAGATGGGAGGGACGTGTTTGGAGGGGGGAAAAAAAAAACCTGCAGGGTTGTGTTTCTATATTTATAACCCAACCATGCAAGCAAAATTTAAAGATGGGTACTCAAGGCAAACAAGCTGCAGGCTCTCCTTCATGCACAGGCATGTGGTTCTCATAGAAAAAGAGATATGTAGTGTACAGTATTTAAAAGAAGTCAGTCATCATAGCCCATCGTTCTTGCAATCTCACCAGCTCTTCCCACAGTGCTGGCAGAGACCCTTTGTGTCGCTATACCAAAAGTTTCAAAGACTTGAGCTACATAGTGTGATGGGGATTTAGGAAGGAAATGGAGACATGCCATTCTTTTGGTGTGCTACTCCTCCCATTTCCACCAGCGGGAGCTTGGGGCAATGACACTGGTGTGTAAGAGATCAGAAGAGGGCTTTGTGGGAGTGTGTGTATGGGAGTGTGTACGTGTATGTGAGTGTGCACACAACTACAAGTCCAAAGAGATGAGAAGATTTGAGCAGGCACTGGGGACATGTCAAAAAGGAGCAGGGTCTTTTTAAAACATGGCCAGTGCCGCTGTTTGCCCATCTCCTGGAGATACATTGCAAGTCACTTCCATTGCAATAATAAGAGGTTTTTTAAATGAGGCCTCTGTCAGTAAATGATTGACACATGGCAGGCTGATTGCTGTGAAAAAGAGAATAGGGGAAGAGTGCAGATTCCTTTACACCCTGGAGGTACAAGAAAATCAGACCAAAAGAGAATCCTTTGAAGATTTTTTTTGTTGGTGAACTTGTCGCAGTTCCATTAATTTGCCAGTAGAGGTTTTCCGTGCCTAATACAACCCTTGGGATAATGTTGCCTTCAGGCTTCACCTCACTCACCTCCCTCTCCCCTCTTTTGGCAGGGGTCCCCAGTAATATAGTTCATGCCCTCCAGCGGGGCTGACAGCTTTAGCAGCCTCTTTGCAACCAGCTGGTAAGCGTGGAGAAAACATTTAGGTCAAGAGCTCCGGAGCTAGTTTTATTTTTGGTGTTCATCATTCGTGGATCAATTCCTTCCCCCTCTCCCTGACATTTGTAGGAAGGGAAGAGTCCAAAGCAAGGATGTTCGGACAGCCTTTTAAGCACCCGGAGCTAGAAGCAAAGAGCTGCAGCCTCTAACCATCACAGCACTCACCAGGTACTGTACAAAAGCAAAAATTGTGTTTCAAGCTTTTGATTCTTGTAAGATAGGCTGTTGATTTCCTCCCCCTCATCTTCCCCTTGAAATATATTGAAACAAGATTCTTGAGAGCTTGCTGGAGGGGAGGGAGCTATTACTAAACTGTAGAAAGGGCTCACGTCTGTCCCCATTGCTATTATGGGGGACGAAGGTGCATGGATTTGGTTGGAAACCCCACACAGCTGAGAAGGGGGAATCCCTAGCAAAGGTGCACAATTATTAGGACATACAATGTTGTGGGTTTTTCCTCTTAGTGCAGCGAAGGCATTAATGCACTGAACACATATTTATGTTGCATTTTCAGCACCATTAAGCATTTTTTTTGCTATATTTGGCTAGATCGTTTCCCCAAGCAATTAAACAGCTGGCGTTTTTCCAAGAAATATTGCCTTTGATCAAGTAGTGGTGCACAAATGTAATGTAAGGGAATACCCACATTTTCTTCTCCCCTTCTTTTATGTGAATTGTGTACCACATTTGGCAATGGCTAAGGGAGCGTAGTATTTGCTAGTCTCACTTTAAACTGCTTGCCTATTAGAGAGCGTCTTTAGTGCAGACCCAGCAGCTTGTACTACTTTTCAGCAGAGGGCACAAGCACTGAGATGCATTGGCAGAGCTGTGTGCAGGACAAAATTGTCCTGTGCCTGCCTGCATGGTGTCTTTCTCCTGACGACGAGGTGAATCAGCCCCTCATTTGGAAGCACAGAAGGAACATTCACTGCATTTCACCAAGAAAAAAACAAGAAGAGAGAAATAAACTAGAACTCTATTGGACCACTGCTTCGGCTGATATGAATCTGAGCAGCACCATTGCCTCCGTCAGCTGAGGATCTGGCTCATTTGTCTTAAGTCTTTCTGTGAAAAGGAACAGAGCATCTTGCAAAAATGGGAAGTCTTCATCTCATGACCTGAAAGGAAGCAAGGGCCTTTCAAGCCAACTTAGGTCTGGTCTACATTAAGTGGCAATGTTGAACTAAGGTATGCAACTCCAGATAGGTAATAGCAAAGCTAGAGTCAATGTATCTTAGTCTGAATTACCCTGGCATTCACACTGTGGGGGCAGACAGGAGAAACTTTCCCATTGACTTCTTACTCCTCTTGAGCTGGTGGAGTACTGTAGTCAACAGGAGCATGATCAGCAATTGATTTAGAAGGTCTTTACTAGACCTGCTAAATCAATCCCCGGGAGATCGATCCTTGCAGCATCAATCTCCTAGTAAGTGGAGACAAGATCTTAGAGGCATCTGAATGGCCAGGATTTCCTTCCACATGGCATTCTAAACAAATATTTTGATTTAGGTTGTTGTAGGGCATACAAACCCCACATCAAACCCAAAGGGATTAAAAGGCAATACTAGTCCCGGGTTTTTCTGCCTCACTGGGAGACGCTGGAGGAGCAGGTTTAAAAGAACTCAGAAGCCCAGGCAAAGAGTGGGGGAGAGTCTAAAGGTGAGAGGAATAATTAACTAGTAAGACAGGCAAAGAGGAGGGACCAAAGAACCTGACAAGGGATCACAGAATGTATAAGGCCCCCATGTGCTTTCTCCAGCTGCCACCCGCTGGCTTTTGGGACTGTTTTTGTTAAGCTATTGAGTGTTTTTATACCATAGGAGGTACATCCTAAACTGAAGGAGCACATAGATAGCAAGTAGCCCAGGGTGGCAGACTCCCCACAGGGAGGACCTTGCTGGTGTTACTTCCCACAGAACTCTGGTCTGTGGCCCAGTGGAGAGAGGGGGGCCTGAATCCCCCTCCGAAGCACCACTTCAGAACAAATATCCAGGCAAGAGTTGAGACCAAGATATTTCTGACCTAGGGGCAGGAACCAGCCACCCATACCCACCCCCCAATCAACAGGCAAGGTGTGGAAGGACAGGTGTGCTAACAGGCCTGCCAGCCCTCTTCACCCTCGTCACAATGATTTGTTTGGTTTTGTTGATTCTGTCTCTTTCTCTGCATCTTGACTCGTGTATGTTCCATGCATCCAATTTGAGCTCCATGCCTTATATTGAATATCTATATTATCTAAGTATCAGAGGGGTAGCTGTCTGGTAAGTCTGGATCTGCAAAAGCAACAAAGAGTCTTCTGGCACCTTAGGGTATGTCTACACTACAGTGTTATTTCAAAATATCTTATTTCAAAATAGCTTATTTGGAAATAATGTGTCTACACACAAAGTGCATTTCGAAATAGCATTTTGCTATTTCAAAATAGCGCGTCCACATTGAGTGGACTCTGAATTGCATTTAAGGCTGGCCGGAACCAGTTCCAGCAGGACACCAGGTCAAGACTTACTGTGTGGGGCTGCTGCCTGAGGCTATCTGAGGTCTGTGCTAAAAGGGACCCCCCCGGACAGCCAGTTCTCAGGTTTCCCTGCTTGCTTGTCTACCTCGATGAGGGTCAGCAAAGCATTTTGTCTCTGTGTCCTCTGGTTGCCCTCACTCGGGATACCACAGCACTCTGCAACATGGAGCCAGAGCAGCCCCGGGACAGCAGTCTGCAGCATGGAGCCAGAGCTGCCCCTGGTGCTTCTCTTGGAAGCATTGCTGCAAGCCTGGCTGCACTTGCTACAGGTTACCATCCGGAAGGTCCATCAGGGAGCTGTCCAGGAGCCCTGCGGGAGAGCTTCCACCCTGAGGAACACTAAGAGCCTCCCCGGGCTGCCCCACTGGGGCATGTGCCTCAATCCTCTCTTACATCCTTCCACTTACCCGTCCCTAACCCCCCTTCCTGATGTCAAATAAAATACATGTATTTTCATGAACACAAACTCTCTTTATTTAACAAAACGGGGGGGGGGGACAGAATGAAAC